TTGATTCCATTTTTTCTATGCATGTATCTAAATTAGAACAAACCACTTCTTCAAAAGCATTAAATTTTAAACCTAAGGTTTTAAAGCCATCTGTCCATTTAAAGGGAAGGGAACGTTCTTTGTTAAATTTATTTCTTCCAATCCATGTTGCTTCAGTTTTAAAATAATTAACTTTTAACCCTGAACACTTCTCAAAATCGTTAAAGGAATCTAACAAATTTGCGCGGAAAATAAATCTTTCAAAAAACAAGTGGTATCATCAGCCAACTGTGGAATTTTTATTTCAGTGTCCCCAATTTTTATACCAAATATATAATTGTTCTTACGAATACTTATTGCCAGCAGTTCAACGGCTAAAATAAATAGTAAAGGAGACAAATACACCCTTGTCGAACACCTCTTTCAATTTTGAATGGAATAGAACTAAATCCATTATTGACGACAAGACTAGATATATTTGAGTATAAAGTTGAGACCCATTTCCGGAACTTGCTACCAAATCTAACTCGTATTCAACTTTAATGACAGACAAACAGTACTCAGACTGATATATACCAATAACAGTTACCTAATAGCATATAAAAAACATATACATGATTTAATGTTAATTATTAAAAGATGTTAAGCTCCAAATAAACAACGTGGGGTTGTCTTATAAAACTACGAGTAAATTTATATATTATGAAATTGAAATTTTCAAAATAAATATTTTTATTTTATAGATAAACCCTGTTCAGACCTCAATGCTTTGCACAAGAAATGTTTTGTTATACATATTTGGCGTCTTTCATCTGTCAGTAATCAAGAAATAGATTATTTTATCGCTGTGTTGAAGACCCATTGGTGGCCTTGGGCTATTTTCTGCTCTTTGGTCGGGTTTTTGTCTCTTTGAGAAAAGAAACGTTCTTTGACAAAACCCTGGCTCAGACACCGATGTTGTTTTATAAATTCTTAGTAGCAGTTGTTAGCTCTTGAATATCGTATAGACGTTAGCATATTGCTGCTAAGGTGAGGAAAATTTATAACTTCAAAATTTTATTTCAATATATAACTGAGTCAAATTCGAGGTATATGTAAAGAATAGAAACAAGAAAACAGTATCCGTGGTTTCGTTAGTCTCTTGTCTAATCTAGGATATAGTAATGAGACCTAAGCGGAACAGTTTGGATTATCAATGAGAAGAACATCATCAATATACTTGTATGTAAAATTAAATCTATCTTCTTTGATCTTCTTGTTTTTTAAACTGTTCGAAGGAACTCCAACTCATATGAAAATAAGAAAATGTCGCCCAGGAAAAGTTCACAGCTGGTTCCAATAGGAATGCCGACAACCTGCTGAAAATTTTCTAAAATCCACAGAAATCATGTCAAAGCAAAACTCCAGCGTACCGGTCATTTGTTCTTCGGTGTAGCATGTTTTATAGTCGGCTTCATTTTAAAAGTAATAAGCCGAAATATATCCCCAAAACGATGAATTAGAAGCGTATGGTATTATTTTTACGGAGGAAAGCATTTTGGATTTTTTCAGAGACGGGTTCTTAATTTTTCATGTGGTATGATTGTGTAAAGGGTGAACGAATCGAAAGATCTGATCGAATTAATTTCATATTATGACCAAGATTTAAAATGTTCCAGAAGTTTTTTTCTGTTCTTAAGAACCAACATATTGTTATGGCTTCTATGCGAGAAAACAGTATCACAGTATTTGTGTTATTCCTGTTTCACTGCGGACAAAATTTGAGTTGATCAAACGGATTCCTTGGTAGAACATGTAGATGAGCCTGCAATGTACCATTGTTTGTACGGCTGTTTGTGTAGCTTAGGTATAACATACAAACAAGGCAAGTCCTCTTAGGTGTTGCTCACTGAATTATGTAATGTTGCATAGAATGACTTATGGCTTGCCATGAGCTCATTCTTATCAAAAGTTACGGTTTTCTATATAGTATTACCGAATATTCATGTATTCCTTATTTTTAATAAGACACTCGCTCGTACTAATAGGATTAACAGACTAACACAATATTGTTTTGAGCATATTCAACAGGTACAACAACATATTCATGGTAGGAAGAGGACAAATATAATATTTAACAGATTCTTTGTCTCTAAATACAAAGGTAGGTCATACATTTACACAGTTTTCAACTTATGGTGTTGTATCAACTCTGAAAGGGTTTTTAGTTAAAAATTTTCCCAATTTATCTATGCTTGACGTAATCCTGAATGGAATCCATAACCATTTTTAACTTATGGTTCCAATCGATGTGTAATGGCTCTTTATATTTATGACCATGAGAGATTACCTTCCGCAGATATGCATGTGTAATTATAATTAGTCCACCTGTAATTACATGGCCACAGGGTTGTAAATATATGGAGGGTGGGAACTGTCCCATTTCAAAAGGGTTTGCAAATATTCTTATAAATCAAGGTCTTGCAATGCTTGTTTATAGTTTTATATTTTAAGTGCAATGGTTCTGGTGTAAATTTAGGAGACAATAGGAACGGACTGATTTTAAAAATAAAGCAAACTTTTACATGTTACTTCTTTGTCATGAAGAATATTGCTGATTATGATAGCATCGATTCCTTTGATGACATTTGGGTGATACATTTCACATTTTCACTGTCAGTAGATCACGTGAATACACGTATCCCATGCTTATCATACGACTAGTCTGATTTAGCAAAGACATATAATACTTTATATGCCTTTAATCTGTGTTATCTTTCATGCCTGGTTTTGATCAGAACACTTATTTCGTATTTACTTGGCATATGAATATTCCAGTATTCTACATTCTAGTGATGTGTATTTGTTTCATCCCATTTTAAAAAGAATTATTTCAAACTCTCTTTTTGCAAATAAAAAGGAATAAGACATCTAGTTTTAACTATCGCTTCAAATTAATTTGATTATTTGTCCCGATAAAAAAAAAAAAACCCGTGAAATACGTGCAAATAAAAGTATGTTTACATTTAAAGAAATGTCGTATGTGATTCTCATAGAGCAAATAATTTTTTAAGCTGGCCCATTACACAAAACCCGTATTTTGCATAACTTGTACTTTTTCAAATTTCAAAGTACCAAAGCTTTCCGTCAAATTAAATAGCCCTCTCTTCATATAAAAAAAAATGAAACCAAATAATTAACAAAATCTAATTTTCACAATAAAAAGGAAACGATAATGAAACAAAATGGATTACGGATTAGATTCTATCGTTTTTTTTTAACGGGAATGACAGTTTGAAATGTTTTTTATATGAGTCCAAATGCAAACGATATTCCCAGTCACAATCTTTTATATCCCTTGAAGTATATTAAATAAGTATTTGATCCATTTTGTATGACCAAAGGAAAGGGAGCCACCAAATTTGTTTATTCTGCATAAATCAATGAAGTGAATTTATAAGTTGGAAACATAGAAAAAATGAGATAATAAGATTTTGATGCGCAAAATAGTTAAAACGGCACTTTAGTCTTTGCTTTCCGATGACGTTTCGCAACGCAAATTTTAGTTTTTAAGTTAAATATCAAACATTTCATAAAAACAATTTGTGAGCAATGACGTTAACTTACACATAAAGACTCTTCCTAGAACCAATGCATCATCATAATTAAAGACAAGAAGTAGAATAACAACTGATTTGGTAATGTGGAATGGTTTTATGTCTTGAAGATATATCCTTATCAATTCCATTATATAGAATTAAACGCAAATATGACAAAGTACTAAATGATAAATGCATCATTGATTTCAATGTTTGCCTCTGACAAAAATGTCTTGAAATTAATTACACGAATATGATCAAAAGGTAAACCGTTTACACCTTTTATACTCGGGTGTTTTTGAAACTCCTGGTTTGACTCTATAACTAATAAAAAATGAGAATATCATCTCGCTTCAGATTTTTATATTATTTTTTTCATACCAAATTTGTACTTATTAGTTTTAAGAATTCGATCTAGGAGAAGAACTGGATATATGAGTCATGTGAAATTATAAAAGAATGATCGGTGCATTTGATTACACGTACCTGGATCAATTATACCCCGAAAAGGTTGTTGTCAATAAAATCTTCTAGCAGTGTATAACCCAATATGTAAAGATATAAATTTGTATTTTGGGTTCATTTTTGAATGCTTTGTTTTTTGTGTACTGTTGTTTGATTTATCGTCGTGTTCCGTTTTTTGTTTTGTTTTGGCATAGCATTGTCAGTTTGTTTTATTCGACTTATGAATTTGAATGTCCCTTTTGTATATGTTGCCTTTCTTGAGTGTTGTAAAAAACCGTTTAGATTGTTGCATATTATAAATTGACTGATTAATCAGCAAACGTTGTTCATGTAATCGTTACTTAACAAATCCAATAGTCATATCTTTTGTCCCATTTTACGTCACCAATCAGTCAACAATCAGTTACCAGTTAGCCGATAAGTCTTCACCGATCCGTCACTGATCAGTTATCGGTCAATCAAATACTGTTTTCACCCATTGATTTTGCAGTCAGAATTGAAATATTAAAACTATACAATCACACCATAGGAATAAAAAATAAACCCCAAGCTTCTCTAAGATCCATTTGAAGAGTTCCTAGATAATTAATTACATCTGACTAATTGTGTTTGAGGAACGCCACGAACAGGTGCAGGTGCGTAACACTCATTTTAATATGGATGATAATTATAACTTCATAAAATCTTATCAAAATCAAAATTATTACAGAACCCTTGAAAAACGTAGCTTATAAGACTTGAATAAACAGGACTTGTCTTTATTTAAAGATAAAGAACCTCATTAGAATGTTTAGGAATTTTGTCAGGTATGACATTTTGATGATATCTAATATTTAAATTAGTGAATCAGTTATTATCGATTTAAAACATCATACTTCAACTTGAAATGAAAATTTTTTATTCTAATAATATCTTGTGCATAGTCAACTATCTAAAAGCCATTGACGTCATTCTTACCTGTAAGATACACCTTTCTTGTGACTGAAAAATAAAATGTAAAAGGAGGCTTACTAATTTCGTGAACATGGCTCAAATTGCAGCACAAAAGTGTGATTTTTCCTGCAAAGGAGTGGCGGTGTTCTACTGCAAAGGATGTAGTCAAAGTATGTGCCTCAGTTGTAGACAAAACGTTCATGAAAAAGTTCAACAATTCAAGGATCATGAAGTTGTTAACATTGAAACCAAAGGGAGTCTTGCTTTCAGACCTCAACCAGTTTGTGACACTCACAACAAAACATTTTTTTACTATTGTAGTACATGTGATTGCCTTACATGCACGGAATGTATGACAAGTAATCATAATGAGCATAAAACTGAAAAGATTAAGAATGTCGCAGATGCTCGTCGTGAGAATGTTAACCATATTATAGTTCAGTTAAAAACGAAAGTTGAAATAGCCAAACAGAAACTTGAAACAATTGAATCAAAACATTCACGTCAAATAGAATCTGACTGTGAGTCTTATGTAAAGAGTGTTGAAAAAACTACAGGAGAATTACATATGATAATTGATCAGCATAAACTAATACCAATAACCACTGCTTCTGACTTTAAAGATAATGAAAATCATGTTTTAGAAGGAAATAGAGATTTCTTTAAAAGACGTCATAAAGAAACAGCGGATCGATTATTGAAGTTTGAAAATCTTTTGCAAGAAACGCACAATAGTACATTCCTTATCGAATGGAAAGCTCTGCAAACTGATGTCCAAATCATAAACGAAGAAACTGATGACCCACTTTTGGACCCGAGTGGCATTGAAATTTTCAATCAGGATTTTTTTATGAAATCAGTCATAGAAGAAATTGATGAACAATTCCAAATGAGGTTAGTGATAAAGAAGGGTAATTTTTATTTACTTTAGTTCATAAAAGGTTCAGGCTCGAGAAGGCTTTTAACCGTGCATAAGTGTGAAGGTCTTACAACACTTGTCATATTATCAAGTTAAACATGTAAAAAAATAATGAATACTCAAAGATGGTAAAAAACCGGTTATGCAACTAATGTGAAAAAGAGAGCCGAAAGATACCAAAAAATACCTTCAAAAAGTCGAGAACCAGCTCAAAACGCCATGGCAAAACATAACGAAAAACGAAAAAAAAAAGACCGACAATAAGGTGATATATAGCTAAAAAACGTCACTCGTCTGTTCTATGTTCCTTTGCAATTTCAACGAAAGATGAGGAACTGGATCTTCCGTCACTGTATTGGATACCTACACTACATTAGTGTCCTTACAAGCAATGTTATATTGCTGGGTCTTCCAAGTGATCCACGAAACCTCTTTCTAAATTATTAACACCAATTTTATCAGCAATCAAAGCCGGGCTTCAAAGTTATTGTGAAACTACTTTTTCTAGAGGTGGCGAGAAAAAAACGTTACTCGTCTGTTCTTTGTTCCTTTGCAATTTCAACGAAAGATGAGGAACTGGATCTTCCGTCACTGTATTGGATACCTACACTACACATGTCACATAAGTGTCCTTACAAACAATGTTATATTGCTGGGTCTTCCAAGTGATCCACGAAACCTCTTTCTAAATTATTAACACCAATTTTATCAGCAATCAAAGCCGGGCTTCAAAGTTATTGTGAAACTACTTTTTCTAGAGGTGGCGTGAATTAGATATGGATACTAAGAAATTCCAACGATCTTGTAGAATACATATAATGCAATATAAGACTCTCTCATCTTGCAATAGTATTTAAATTTTGACTTTTCTACACTTTACACTCCAAGTATTCCCCATTGCAAACTGAACGATTTGGTCCTGCTTTGTTTCATAAAAAAGAATGGCTTACGTAGATACTAGTTTCTTGTCTTAGGAAGGGATACATCGTAATTAATAAAAAAATAACTCTGATTCAAACAAAAAATTCTCTGAAACTGACATTATCAAGATGCTTGATTTCTTGATTGACAACATATTCGTCACGTTCGGAGGACGTGTTTTCCAACCAACAATCGGCATTCCCATTGGAACCAACTGTGCCCATTTTCTTGCCGACTTGTTCCTTTATTCAAATGAGGCTGTTTTCATACAGGAACGTTTTAGTAGTATCCTTTAACCTCACTTTCCGCTATTTAGGTGATGTTCTCTCACTAAATAATTCAAAATTTGGTGACTATGTTGAACGCATCTATCCCATCGAACTTGAGATAAAGAATACAACAGATACAGTTAAGTCAGCCTCATATATTGACTTACATCAAGAAATTGTCAACGATGGTCGAAATTGACAATGATGGTCGGTTGAAAACAAATCTTTACGACCAGGAGATGATTTCAGCTTCCCAATCGTGAACTTCTCCTCATTTCTATGTAGCAACATTCCAGCAGCACCTGCAAACGGGGTATATATTCCCCAGTTGATACGATATTCCCGGGCTTGTATTTACTATCATGATTTTCTTAATAGAGGGTTGCTGTTCACAAGGAAGCTATTAAACCAAAATTCCAAGTGGGGATGTTAAAATCGACTCTTCGTGAATTTTACGGACGCCATCACGAGTTCGTTGACAGTTATGCAATATTATTTTCACAGATGACAACGGACGTGTTCCAATTGTCGTAACTACAGTCCAGTCTCCTTTCTCCCGAATGTGACCTACCGAATTAGACTTATCACCGGGTTTGTACTGATATGAGCAACACGACGGTGCCACATATGGAGTTTGATCTGCTTACCCTTTCGGAGCACTTGATATCGCCCCTAATTTATGGTGGGGTTTGTGTTGCTCCGTCTTTAGTTTTCTATGTTGTGTTTTGTGCACTGTTGTGCTTTTGTCTTTCCTTTTTAACCATTGCGTTGTCAGTTTATTTTCGAAGTCTGAGTTTGAATGTCCCTTTGGTATTCCTCGACTCTCTTTCGCTAAATATCTAGAAAGAAATCATAGACATTTGGAAATCAAAATATCTAGAAATTAATTTCGATCATTCTGAATAATCGGATGAAATGTACAAATGTAGCAACATCATCATTCAGATCAAAATACACAGAAAACTAAAAACAAAGGAGATAAAACCTTATTAGAAACCTTGGTAAGGTATTTATGTATTCACGCAAGGTGAGAAGTTCGTGCTCAGCTATCAGCACCACTCATCAATAATTACTCATGCCAAGTGAAATACGCTGATACGTCAGATTATTAGCAGAATACATATCTATTAATAAATGTTTAGCACGTTAGTAATACATTTAATTATGTATTTGACCAAACATGTCACGTAAAGAAGGAATATAATACTATTTTCTATATCTGTTTCACAGATGATGATGAATACGTTCCAATCGTTTTAACCACAATCCCGTCATCGTTTTATCGAATGTGTCCTGCCAAATCAGACTTATCACCTGGTTTGTACTTACAAGAGCCACACGACGGGGGTAACTTGCGGAGCAGAATCTGCTTACCCTTCTTGGGCACTTGAGATCACCCCCGTGTTTTGGTGGGTTTCATGTTGCTCAGTCTCTAGATTTTTGTTATGTGTTTTATGTACTGTTGAATTACAGGCTACTGACTTGGGACAGGCACATGCAGAATGTGGCGGGCTAAACTCGTTTGAAGGCGCCAATCTTCCCCTAACCTGGGACAATGGTGTAACAGTAAAACATAAAAACAAACTTTAATTAAATTCTCCGCTGGGCGCAGCTTGATACGACCGCAGAGGTCTCACACTGAACTGTTAGGGCAAGTATGGACACAACATGTAAGCTTAACACAGCTCTGAATTTGGATTGCGATTGAATATTTGACACAGCATGTAGGTTTGTGACACAACATGAATATGGTCAAAGAACTGAAAAATTTCAATTTGGACATTTACCTATTATGATCCAATATAAAAAATCTAAATACATGTTTAATACTTCCATGGCTAGAATCAGCATCTTAAAGATCCCTAATAATTCAACTTTTGATGAAATCAAACAAAGGTTTAATTAAGGACCCTTTCGACCTCAAATGAGGACCATTTGATAACGGAGCCCAAAATCAAAAATCTAAATAAAAGGTTAGGTTCATCATTTCAAAGAACCCGAAGTATTCAATTTATTTGAAATCAAACAAAGTTTAATTTTGGACCAAACTTTCATCCAATTTGAAAACTGTGCAAAAAATTTAATTATATGCTTATATTCAGCATATCACAAAATCCCAACAATTCTTTCCGTTAAAATCACATTAAGTTAATATTGGATACTTTGGACCTTAATGTAGACCAGTTTATAAAACGGGCCCAAAATCAAAAATTAAAAAAACTCTGTTAGATTGTACATATTAAAGAACATCAATAATTAATTTTTTTAATAAATCAAACAAAGTTTAATTTTAGACTCCAATTTGGACCAACTTTAGAAACTAAGCCCAAAATAAAATATCTATAACATGTTGAATTGGGCATATCAAATAACACCAATAATTCAATGTTTGATGAAATCAAACATACTTCAATTTTGGACTCCAATTTGGACCAACTTGAAAGCTGTGCCCAAAATAAAAAATCTGAATACACGCTTAGATATAGCATATCAAAGAACCCCAACTATTCTTTTTTTAATCAAACAAAGTTTTACTTTGGACCCTTTGGACCTTAACGTGGACCAATTTGAAAAGAGGCTCCAAAAGTAAAAATCTAAAAAAAAAACATGGCTAAATTCAGCATATCAAAGAACACCAATAATTCAATTTTTGAAGAAATCAAACAAAGTTTAATTTTTGACCCTTTGAACCTTAATATGGATCAATTAAAAAAACAGACCCAAAATCCAGATAATAAATACCCAATAAGTTTCAGCATATTAAAGAACCCAAAGAATTCAAGACTTTGAATCAAACCCCATTAAAATTGCTTCAGAAATAAGCAATTTAAACAAAGTATTACAAAATAATTATTGTTGGCCCCTTTATTTTAAACTGTTACCGTCATAACCCCTAAAATCAATCCCAAACTTTACTGTATGATATAACACCTTGCGGCACAATTGAATACCAATAAATAGACTTATACTCAAGTTATTGTCCAGAAACCAGAAAATCCTAGTTTTTCGGCCCCTTTTCGGCCCCTAATTATTAAACGGTTTGGACCATGACCCCCAAAATCAATCCAAACTTTCCTTTTGAAGTATGAAACCTTGTGGTAAAATTGCATATTTACACACAAATTATTGTCCTAAAACATGAAAAACACTTATTTTTGGCCCCTTTTCACTACAGAACTTCGACAATTACCCCAAAATAAATCCAAACCTTTGTATTTTGGTGTGAAAGCTTGTGCTAGAATTTAAAAGAGATCCATAATCTTCTACTAAAGTTATTGTCTGTGAACCAGAAAAATTATTTTTTTTGTTAGCCCCTATTAGGCCCCTAATTCCTATACAGCTACTATAATTACCCCCAAAAACAAACCCGAATTTTGCTTTTGAGGTAAGGAACATTGTCCTAAAATGTAATGACGATGCATACACAGTTATTGCCTGCAAACCAGAAACATAGTTGTTTTTGACCCCCTTTCGACCCCTTATTATTAAACGGTTTGGACCATGACCCCAATAAATCAATCCTGACTTTTCTTTTGAAGTATTGAACCTTGTGGTTAAATGTCATAGAAAGCTATACAATTATACACAGCTTATTGTCCTTAAACATGAACAATGCTTGATTTTGGCCCCTTTTTACCCTTATTACTAAACAGCTACAACAATAACCACCGAAATAATTCCCAACCTTCCTATTGTGGTATGGAACCTTGTGCTAAAATTTGATAGAGATTCATACACTTATACTCAAGTTATTGTATGTGAACCAGACACATGATTGTTTTTGT